CCCGTGGAAGTTAATAGGGCAGTAAATTCTAGTGAATTGACTATTTCCACATTCCATAGGCTTAAGGGAGTAATCAGTAATGTATCTTCCCATACAGTATGCTTAATGAGAGGGAAGTGGTGCGAAGAGTAATGTATCCTGTGTTATATTTCATATATAGCATCTATGCAAAGTTTCTTGGTCAAAAGTAAAAGCAAGCAGTGAATAAAATCTAAGGTTAGTTTCTTCAAGTTCATGCATGACCTGAAGCTGCCAAACTGCTTTTACTCATCTTCTTTGCATCTATCTCATTCTTCTAGGTAGCTGTTCTTCAATAGTTCACTGCATTTAACAACCTCTTCCTATGATAAAGCATGTCAATCCTAATATTGTTTTTGCGGGGGGAGAGAGCAAGAAGGGAGAGGAAGAGCATTTTATGGCTCTAAGTGACTTGCCTTCTATGTGGTGATCACAAACTGGGACATCAAAAAAAGTGTTGGATTTAGGGAGGAAATATGAATACATCATGGATGATGGATTGAGCACATCATTGAAGATGATGGCTTGACTTTGACTTGGTTGTCTCAAATACGAGCATTTATTTTCCTTTAACTATTTCCTGCTCCATAGTGCCACAAAAGATGTGCAGGGACCTTCGTGATGAGAGCAACAACTTATTACACAAGGCTCATAGGTTCACTGTGCTGTGTTTGTCCATAATGTGGTCTTGGTACCAGGACCCTGAATGGAGTATTGGCCCATGGAGTGGCAGCAGACGGTTGTCTTCTGTTTGTTTCTATTCACCTTTTACTCAGCTCAGAGAAGCTTTGCTTACTGTATTAAGAGCCTGAGGTAAGAGACAGCATATAATTACATACTGTTGCAGTGTCCATAGCTGCTCTTCATGTGACTTCAAAGCATCCCCAGATAATTTTTGTTTAATGTAGATACCAGTAACTTATTCTAATATGTAATCAGAATCCATTACATGGGACGTGCTTAAGATGAACCACTTTGACACTGCTGATTGCTGCATGTAGTATTTATTCCCTAGTTATTTTTGTTTGTTTTTTCCAAACAAGAAAGTGGAGCAGCTGGCTTGCATTCTTGGATTTTTCCTTTTCTGACTCGCTCCTTTTCTCCTGTGTCCTGTTTTCAGGTCAGTGCTTGGTTCTCAAAACGGATCCAGACAAAAATCAAGGACCTTCTGCAACAAATGGAGGAAGGGCTGAAGACGGCAGATCCACATGACTGCTCTGCCTATACTGGCTGGACTGGTGAGAAAGCTAGAATTTGAATGGTGTTTGTTAAATGGCGTAATGGGGTTTATTTACAGGAGGAGGTTCTGATATTCTCACAGGAGCAGCAGAAATACTCTGATACAGGCATTTGTGTGAGTTGGTTTCTTTTAGCTCTGGACCCTTGGTCACTACTCTCTGGAATGACTTGCATTGATTTCAGTGGACAAAGGATCTAGTTACAGAGAGGTAATTGGCTTTTGTATATGGAGATCTTTTTCTTGCAAAAGGAGCGGATTTTCTAAGGCTACTTCTTCTTTTGGCTTACCTCTAGTTTCTTTAATATTCTTTAATATTTTCTTAAAATGCGTTATTTTCACCTTTTTCTGTTCAACTGACTGATAGTTAGCCATTGTCTGATGGTAACAGCATCTTCTAATCATTGAGAAGGGAGTGTTCTGTGCCCAGGAGCTTGCAGCCTTAAAATCTTGAATAGGGATAATTTGGCTCTGCTTGTTCTGTCTACAAAAATGGTAAAATGAACGTGTGATGAGGGGGAGTATGGAAGTGGGGTTGCAAGATTGTGAAGTGCATGAAGATAAACAGGCGTGTGCAAGTGCTGGTTATTGCTAGCCGCTGTCGTTCATTTAGCATTGCGTCACTGATGCTGTCCAAATGTGAATGAGCCCTTCTAATCCTTTAGGCAGAGCCTGCAGTTTTAAAGCCCGATGCGGCCACTGCTCTTCAGGCTGCTAAAACGCTTTTCTGTCTTGGCCTCTTAAGTGCCACTTTGCTATTACAATGGCATAGTCTATTCCTGCTCTGTCTAGCTCACACTTCAGACATACTTATGCTTTTAGCACAGCGTATTTCAAAATGTGCCCTGAGGAGATCTATTCTTTTATCTTTGTGTCGTGAGGGGGAGCAGCTTGGAAAAACTCTCCAGGCTTTGCCCATGCTCAGGCTTAATTCTGGCAGCAAAAGGGTAAAATTTCTTTGCTTCCTTCTTAATGTTTCGGTACAGATGGTGCTGTGGGTGGATGGGTGGGGAAGTTTTAGACAACTCCCGCTTAAATGGTAGATGCCTTTCAAGGTCTGAAAGTGAGTGGCTGCTAAGTGGGTGCAGAAGATCTCGAGTGGTGGGCATTCTCCCGCTGACATTACAAAACGGCTCCAGGGGAGCCATGTTCCCTGCCTGACACTGTGACTGACAACTGAAGTTACGGCTGATAAACCAGAGCATGCTGAAAATGAGTCATAAGCTAAAAGTAACACAGCCATCGTTAGCTGAAACAAGAAGATAGATGAACAAGTAACGCAGTCTAATGAGAATCGGGTTTTTCCATCCTGCTTTCCTAGATCACTGCTACATCTGTTCCAAGTTGTACACTTCTTTCAAGGCTTCTGTGGAATTGACTCCTGAATAAAAATACTTAAATGATCTGGCTTTTAAAAAACTCAGTGAAGGTACTTTCTTCCCAAACTCGCTTCTTGCACATTAGCAAAATGCTGCGAATCAGAAGATAAAGCAATGCTGAAAATAACTGCCATGCTTGTTAGGTACCAAGTCTAGACAAATGTTATTGGCAGTGCACAGTCCTGAGCATTGGCTTGAGCTTTGTAAAATATCTTTAAAATCTTGGAGCATGTAGTGTTGGTACATAACAGTCACAGGACTCGTGTTAGAGTCCATCTTCTTATACAGGTACTCTTTGTATGTGCCAGGCATCTTGGAGGAGCCACTTCAAAGGTGTTGCACAAGGAAGGATTGGATGAACTGGGCCTCATGGCTACTTTCTGATCATCCCTTGATCAAGCCCAGATATCTACACGTTTGTTGCAACACAAAAAGGGTTACAGAAATCCCAGTAAATAGCCCACAAGTTCCCATGCCACTGAATTGGGCTAACCAAGCTCTGCAGCTCTCCTCTTTGACTCATCTAGAAAGGCCTGTTCAAAGCCAGTCCAGAGAACATCTGAGGATGTACCAGCACTCTTGTGGTGCTATTCTTCACGTACTCCTCAGGTGGCCTCTCTGTGGAGCTGTGGGCCTTGTGTGTACTCAGCTTTAGTTGTGGCTCAGGAGAGTGCTCTCCCTGTTCAGAAACGAGTTTGAGATGCAGTACAGTCTCGAAGTAAATGTTTTGCTTCTGCACATGTATGCTTGCAGTTGGCCCATAAACATCTACTTAGTTGTTTCACTTTCTTCAGTCTACATTGTTGCAATTTTTAAGGTTTGGTTTGGTTTTGTTTTAATGGAAAAACATGTAATGAGTTTAGTGGAGTGAAGCTTGATACTACGTCATTGTCTGAGGACTTGTTTGCTTGTGGGCTTTTACAAACCAGCCTAACTTGTAGAAGCTCATAATCTTGTGAAATACATTTAAGGGTTATAAAGAACTTGGCAAGTTGAATCCAAAAACTCGTCAAAAGATCCTTTTACAAATCAAATGGAAAATAAGCCGCTTCTTACATATAATAGATGAGTATTGTACAGTCAATGTACTTCGTCATACACATGCTTGTTAGCCCATGTTTTTGAGTCTTCAGTGATTTCTTCACCAAGCATTGGTGCCTGTGTCATGAATTTTCTTCATTCTCTGCAAATTACGAGTCTACCATTGGGCTACAGTCTGATATTTTTTTAATTTTATTTCTTGTCACAATCCAAATTGAAATGTAATCAAAATAGATGGCCTGATGCCTTCCCATTGCATAAGCTAGGACCCTTGACTGACATGTTTTAATTGCCCAAATACCTGTTCGCATTTGAGTTACTGGTTCAGAGGTACTAAAGAAGGGAATATAATATACTTAGAAGGAAAAGTAAGTGAAACTATCTCTTTTTCATGTGATTGTTCCAGGTATTGCCCTCTTATATCTGCAACTGTACCGTGTCACAAAAAAGCAGAGCCATTTGCAGCGATCTCTTGATTACGTGAAGAGAATCCTTCGGAATCTGAATGGCAGGAGAGTTACTTTCCTCTGTGGTGATGCTGGGCCACTGGCAGTGGGTGCAGTAGTTTATCACAAGCTGAAAAATGACAGTGAATCTAAAGAATGTGTTGCCAAGTAAGTGGTTGATGGTGGAAAAAGCCATGCCCTTCATTTGCAGAGAGCATTGGTTCAGTAACATTAGTAAGTGGAGTTTTGGAGGACAGGGTTAAAAAATGGAGACACTTTCTCCCCTGATACATTTTGAGTAGAAGAATACAAAGTAGGCTTTATCTTTATTAAAGCTGGCTTACACTTGAGTCATATTTAATGGGTTATCTTGAGTCCTCTATCACTGTAAGGACAGGATGTCCTGGACATATCTGTAGTGCATGCACGTTTTGATTTTGTCACATTGAAGTGACATTTAACAAAAGCCGCACACTTGTCATCAGCAATATGTAGTGCTTGTGTGGTGTGTGATGCTTTCTGTAAAGCGTGGGTCTTAATTGTGGATTCATTACAAAACATGTACACTGCAGGGATCCAGAACCATCCAGACAGAAACATTGTGCATCGGATTGATATGTAACAAAGATTTAATAAAACAAAGAGGAGGTATTTACTGAACTGTTAAGGGCAAGGGCTTTAATTAGGTCAGAGCATATGAAGAGTAGCCTGAAAAAATTCCAGCCCATTTTCAAAGTAATCTAGATGTAACAAATGTCTTGAGAAATTCCGTTTAGATGTAGAGCTTCTGCGGAGAACTAACTGTCCTTTTGCTGCTATGAAGCTGACTGCTGTCCCGGCAAGGGCTGGAAGCACCGGAGCCCTGTGGGGTTTGCATTCGGCACCAGCAATCTGCCTGCTAGCCGTCCAGCAGCATACCTTACGCTGCCAGAATTTGCGGACTAGCCTTGCGTCCTCATTTCCATTCTGGTTTATACTTGGAAATATAATTTCTCTCTTTTCTAATCTAGAATCCTAGTACGATTAATCTCTGCTGTTGTTCCTGAATGAATATTTCAGTTTTGAAATGGGTGATAGGTTTTTTTGCTTTTAGACCTGGCAGTAAACTTGGGCATATCATTTTGGATGCAGCTAGGAAAGCAGTGTTGCTGTAAGGTGTGAAGCATGAGTATAGCAAAATGAGATTAGCAATAAATCTTTTAGTCTCGCCTCTGCTTGGAAAGCCATTTCTAGGAGGAGGACTGAAAAGGACATTAGTTTGATTATTTGTTCCTTTTCTTCCTTTTTTGTTTACAAATGTATTCATGATACCAGCTGAGTGGTATGTTATAGATGTCAAAATGTAATCTATGCTTGCACTTTTAACTTTTTACCTTGTAGCTGTCCAGTTACATGATTTGAATAATAAAACTTAACAGTGGACATTTTAACAGAAAATAATTCAATTCCAAGTCCAAAGAGTAGTTCCAAGAGAGGAATGATAAGAGAAAACACATAAAACTCTCTTTTGTGAATGGCTTTTCCCTAGTATTAAGCAGTGACAGCATAAACAAGCCATTGAGGTCAGTTTTTTTGCTCCAGCATGGTGTTAGTGCTAGCATTTCTGCCAAGTAATAGCTGTTGGGGGGGGGAGCTGGGAATTGAATTTGGTCTTAAACCATATTGTCTTGCCCCCTCCCCCAATGTAAAATATGAACATTTCCCTGGTTTCATCTAATTGCCAATTTAATCACAAAAGATAGGAAGAAACAGGGAGGAAGTGGGCAGGAAAACAGATCTCTGCTCCACCTCAATTCTAATACAGAGTGCTGGAGTAATAGCAGGGAGTCTCTTTGTAGCAAATGAGAGTTACAGTGGCCAGCCCAAGGTTTTTTCCCATTGCTGAAGGCAAGCAAAACACTTACGCATAATAGCAGTGCCCTTTTCAAAATTGAGCTGCTAAACATTTGAGACAGCGTGTTGTCTAGGGAGGGGGAGTGCTGGATGGTGGTGTTGGGTTTGTTTGTTTGTTTTTGTTATTTTCCTCTTATACATCTACAGTTAAGGGTCCTTGCTTAGGCGAAATTCCCAGAGTCTTCAGGTGGTGCTCCCTATTTGTTGGAGCAGTTCTCCAGCCTCATCCAGCCCCCACCCTGCACCCATACATCTGTTTCTGTCTGCACAAAAACCTGGTAGTTGCACTAATACTCTCCTGGCTCTGGCTCCGAGTTGCCTGTCTGTCACGGATGGCAGGCACGTAGAACTTCTGTGTGTAAACCTGGCAGCCAGCAGAACTGGGGATGACTGAAGGGAAGTGGTGGGGCCTTGGCTTTGATTAATGGCTTGTGCAATACATAGTCCAGTATGGTCTCTAGAGAAGATGCTCTCTCTCCCCACCTTTCTTGTCTGATGCAGGTTGTTGCAGCTCCAAAGGACAGTTGTAAGCACAGATGCTGAACTTCCAGATGAGTTGCTTTATGGCAGAGCAGGTTACCTATATGCCTTGCTGTACCTGAATACCGAAATCGGTCCAGACACTGTCCCACAGTCTGTTATCAAAGAGGTAAGATACTTTTCTCTCTCCAGTGCCACAGCGTCAGTGAGGTTGAACTGGAATCACTCCTTCACATAACTCGAGGGATTAAGAGAGGGAGGCTGGAGAGGAGAGGGACCTAGAACCGGGAGCTCCATCTCCCTCCAATCTCTTCCCCCTTTCCCTGCTGCTCAGCTGGGACTGAGACAGGCCACTGTGGGTACATCCGTTTCCATGGCCGGCCATGGATCTAATATGTAACTAGTTCTGGAGCATTTGAGGATGAGAAATTGTTACAAAAAACATTAAGAAAGAAGTGTGGAAGCGTTTAAGTGAAAAGAAGGAGAATTCAGTGTGGGGAAGACGCACGACTCTTCTGTAGATACCAGAACCAGAGAAGGCAGGCCTGGAAAAAGGAAATATTTATACATTACATTTCTGTTCTTAGAAATATAAGTGATTCCATCATTTAAGAAAAATTCCATTTCTACCTCAACACTCAACTTCAAATGAATTTAATATCATTGTCCTATTGCTGTTTATTGTGGCTTATTCTTTACTGTGGTTGTAGTCATGACAAAGCAAAACCCTCTGAATCAAAGCAAGTGAGACAGAAGGGGTATGTTCTCTTTCTTAGGTAATAGATGCTATTATTGATTCGGGGAAAAACTTCTCGAAGGAGGAGCGGAAAACAGACCGTTGTCCTCTGTTGTACCAGTGGCACAGGAAGCAGTATGTTGGAGCAGCCCATGGAGTGGCTGGGATTTATTACATGCTCATGCAGGTAAGAGCATCTTCTGTGGGCTGGGGTGAAACACCAGTGATTTCGTGTTTTGCATCAGAGGATCTTATCTTCAGCTTTCATGCATGTGCAGTGTTGTGCTGGGTCAGGGTCTCACAATTTGGAGTTAGATTCTGCAGCACAGACCTGTGCAGAGATGCTAGCTCAGGCCCTAGTAGCAGAAGAGAACTGTGACTTGGGTATCCTCACATTAGAGTGAATTAAACCTTGAGTTGTGGTTCAGAGCACTGGCATTCCAGGAGCTGACGTTTCCTATCCTCAACAGAGACAGTGAGGTGCCTTCCCTCATCCTCATGCTTACTTCTTATGGTGCCTGCAGTTAGACCAGCTAAATATTCACTTACTCACCATCCCTCACTCTTAATCTTCAATTTTTTTGCCATTTTTAAATGAGTGCACCACTGGTACCTCCTGTCCTCTTGTCCTCTGTGCTCTTCCTCTCTTCTCCAGTGACTTTTTTTTTTTTTTCTCACTGTCTTGAAGCTTTTGGAAGACTATCCTTAATCACACATTAGTCTTCAGCATGCTTTTATTCTTTAGATGTTCTTCCTCGTCCGTATGCCCCCTCTCTCTCCCCCAAATGTCTGATGTTCCTTAGTGCATTTATGACCCTTGGTCTCACCTTTATGTTGTCCTGAGTGAGATTCTTCTCTTTTGTATACCTCCTCTTTCCCACACTTAAATCCATTCCCTCCTGCCCTTGGATTCTCCAATAGGATTTAGATGTTTTTCAAAACAGACCTGTATACCTTATTTCTCTTGTACAGTCTGGAAAAAGAGCCTTAAGATTCATTATAGAATATGGCCATAGAGCTGCAAAATTTGTATTGTACCTGTTTCTGTTTTTTAAAGGTGCTGCCAGTCTGTGCATCTTTGTAAATGTTAATTTTCTTACCAGCTCATGCAGAATGACATTCCTTCAGGCAAGTGGAAGGATTAGACATCCTCGCAGCGTGAAGCTGCGTACGAATATTCACTGCAGAAGTGACTGATCTGGTATTTGGTGTTGCCACTGCTCAGCTGTTCCTCATTTGCAAAAGATGCTGTGACTTCTCCCCATCTGTTTCAGATTAGCTCACACCACTTCCACAAGTAGCTGAAGCTAAAGCATCTGACTTTGCTGTGGAAGTTGCTACTGCTCTGCTACCTGGTGGCATGTCTTAACATCACTACAGCCATTTTGTGCAGTGACCACTGGGGCCTCAGGCTACTCTGATTTACTGTGCCCTTATCTTCACTTCCTGCTTTGTTCAACAAGGTGGTCTACACCCTTCCTGCTCCCTCATGTTCCCAGCTTCCATTTTTCCTTCCTTGGCTCTGCTAGATTTTCTGAGAAACATCTGGTCCTTTAAGGAAGCTTCTTTAAAGTCTCCATCCTTCATTTACTATTCAAGGCTGAGAGCAGAAATAATTGCACAGCACTTTTTGGTTTAAGCAGAAGCTACTCTGTCTACATGTTAAAATCATAACTATCTTTTCTTTTACGTATAATTGCTGCTTTTAAGAATTACCACAAAGCCATTGTTTATGCAGCATTAGATTACTGTCTTTTCACTGTACGTTAAATATTGTGAGTCATACAGAGTTGAGTCATCCACTGCAGAAGATGGTGGCATATTGGAGTCCATCCTTTCCCCATCCCTCCCACGCAAAATGAGGAGAATATTCCTGTATTTTCGGTGAAGAATTCAGGAGATGGTTCGTTGAGTATTTGTTTGATAACAAAAAAAGGGCATCCAGCATAGCATCTGAGATATGAAGGTTGCTGGTCATTATTTCTGTACAACACCTTTATGAGGAAACATGTATTGCTGGATTTACTTACAGAAGACTACTGGAAGAATAAGAGTTCAGCAGTGTTAAATAACTCATCCAGGAGGTAGAGGGGGAATTCTGAAGTGCTAGCTAGGAAATCTCTAATCCTAGCCCCTTTAACTAACCTTGAGGCAAAAAAGTCTGTTTGTATATCATTGCTCTTGGCCAGAGAGTCAGGGCACATACCTGTAGGTTACTTTTTTGCTGTTGGAAGTAGGGGCTGGGAACCTCAGCAGCTTGGGCAGAGAACTCACTTGTACTACAATCTTCTCAGAAGCACAAGGTGAGAAGGAGGTTTGTAAAAAGCTCTGCTTTTCTTGGATTTACCTCCCAAGGACAGACGTGCTGGACTGGGCTTGCCTTGCACAGCTGAAGGTATTTATTGCTGGTGCTGATCCACTTTGCCTTCTGCTGCAGGGGTGCAGCATGAAATCAGAGCCCTGAAACAAAGCTTCCCCCAGAGCTTCCTGACCCCACAGGTCAGCGTCTGAGTGAGGGTTGATCAGCTCCAGGGTGTTCTTCACGCTAAGCTGATCTGTATTCAGGTGTATTTCTGATTAGCAGCGTGAATGTTTCTGTTCCACTCAGAAAAGTGCAGAGGTGGAGTTTGCTTGAGGGACCTGGTAGGTAGAAGTCTGGCAAAGCTTTCCTGGCTGAGGTGAAATAGAGGTTTTTTGGTTACTGAAAATACAGCTATTGAAAGTCTTCCTCCATTTGGCTGTAAAACTGTCAATTGTAGCAGTGTGCTCACCCATTGAATACAAATGTGCTGGAGCTGGTGGGAAACAGTGAAATTGTATGACATCAACTCAGCAACAAAGACAAGTTATTTAAAAAAATAAGCTCAGTAATTAGGCTCCTGTAGGCTCCAATTTCTGCAGTTGTTCCCACAGGTTGCAGGAGTTTTAGAAATCATGTAGGCTGTGTAAAAATAGAGAGCTGTGTTATGAAAATACTGTAAAATGGGCTGGTAGAGGAGGGAATGCCAACTAAGAACAACTGCAGACCCAACAGATAGTTGGTTTCTAAACCTTTACTTAAAAGGAGCATGCAGGTTGATGGATATATTCTCCTTTTGGCAAGGATGTAAACTAAATAGAAGAAATGAGAAAGAAAATACAGAAGAGCAATCTAAGGATGGGTTTGTAGTACAAAGAAGTTTAGCTACCCAGAGAAGTAGCTGTTGCTTCTGAAATTGGAAATGCAGACTTATAGCCCATAGCTTCAGGGAGTTTTGTTTATGATGGAAAACTTTAACCTTCATACCTTTGCCAGGTATGCCACTACATACACCCATCTTCATTTATTGGGAAATAGGACAGGTTTGTCTACATTAGTTATTTTTAAAACAAAATGTGTAACCCATTGTGTTTTAAGTGTGTATAATGAGCAACGTATCTGTAAAACCATCTTTCTCCTTTAAGCGTTCTCTCTATTTTAAGGTATAAAGAGAGGCCTGGGACTCTCGAAATCCATATTCTGTTCTCAGTTCTTCCATAGTCTTTCTGTGTCACCTCCAGTAAGACAGGTAACAACTTGGTGCCCTGATTTCTTTGGCTCTACAGTAGCTGTAAAAATGCTCTTCACAAGGGTATTGTAAGCAGGCATTAATTAAATCTGTATGAAGTGATTCAAAGTATTTGGATCAAGGGCACATATGTAGGATACTTGAAAATAGATCATAGAATTAAGCGTTGATACACAATTTGTTGCTACTTCTATTTATGGTTTTGGTGGTGTTTTTTTAATGTTTTCTTTAGCCAATTGCAAATGTGGACCAGGAGACCCTGGCAGAGCTGGTGAAGCCAAGCATTGACTATGTGCGTCATAAAAAATTCAGATCTGGGAATTACCCGTCGTCACTGAGCAATGAGACTGACAGACTGGTTCACTGGTGCCATGGTGCCCCCGGAGTCATCCACATGCTCATGCAAGCTTATAAGGTGAATCATTCTGTGTTCATATAGACTTCTGTTTTTACAGAGAGACCTGTATGCAGGCCTGTTAGATTGTAAGGCTTGCATTTTACATCTTTCTAGATCTAGACTTTCAAACCATAACCCTAGGCTAGGCACAAAAATCACAAAATATTTACATAGATACGTTTGTAAAGAGGAAATAAATGGGTAAAATTTCTTCTCAGGGTGCTAGTAGTTACTTAGACTTTATGCTTTCTTGGAAAAGGGCCATGTATTTAAACAATTTGATGTTGGAGTCCTGGGGGTAAGAACATTGACCTAAATTCTTTGAATCTTCATCCCAGGAGTTTTAAGAATTATGTTGGTTTTCAAAAGCATAGGTTCACGTGTCTTGCCAAAGAATGTCTTCCATAAATTACTCCATTATTAAGATGTAGCTCTTGAGAACTTAACGTCAGAACAAAGATCTTAGGCCCCTTCTAGGGCATAAATATAGCTGCTGAGCTACCACAAACCTACTGTTTGCTCTTCTCCATCCTTAACTAGGTTTGCTATCTCTCTTGTGTTGTGTACTTCTGATTTGCATGCCATTTGAAAGTATGCCATTTAATTAAATTTATGCAAATTGATTCTTGCTTTTGACAGCCCTCCTTGGCAGATTCCCTGGTCGGCCTCTGGGTGGGCTGATGCAAAGCAGACTTGGTCTATGGAATAATTACACATGCTGCTACCTGAAATGTGAACTGTAAATCTCTTACAGCATTGCCGAATGTAGCAGCAGTCACAGTTGCTTTTTCTTTGGACTGTGGTAGGAGGTTGACATAACACTGCAGACTTCTCCCCCTTTCTTTGTCAGTGTGATGCTTTCCCCAGCACAAAATGTTTTGCAGGAGGTAAGAGGGATAGGACCAAGTTCTGCTTAGCAGTCTCCTTTCTGGCCTCTTTTTATGTTTAAGGTGATGGGGCATATGAGACTTTTCTTTTTATATTCTGCTTTTTGAAGAAGCGATGAGAAAAATTTGGAGTATGTTTTGCTGGCTGTGCTTTCATACCAAGCGCAGGGACTTGCGATAACAGACAGCAGTGTTTGTCCTGAAAATCAAATGCTGTTGCCAGGCCTTAATTTGAAATGTTACAGCTAAGTAGCTGACAAACCCTGTTCAGAGAGGGGGACTTTCTTTATCAAGCTTGTGGATTTGAGAATCTTGCATGTTAATTGCTTCTATTACCTCATTAAATAGCCTGGCAGGGGATGCAATCTCTAAAGGACTAAGTCTACAGTAGTGCATCAGTTACTGGTTTTTTTTGTCGTCTTGATCTGTAGAGTGACTTAGGCAAAGGGGAGCAAAAAAGTAGCCTTATAAAGATGGAAGTCTGGTGGTGTTCAGCTAAATTACTTGCTTTTGTTTTCTGCTCTCCTGAGGGGCAATCTGTGTCCAAAATGCACTTCAGTTGCAATAAACTTTGCAAAATTGGTCCTTTGCCCAAACTGACTAGTGCTTCTGAGTATTTCCAAAACAAATACTAAGCAACGTAATGGAGTGTTCCTACTTGTACTTATGACAGAGAAAAGAGCCTTGTGCTATGCAAAGAGATATTCTTGTGCATTTTTGACATAGAATTGAAAGCAGATGGCGAGTAACCAGGAAGAATTACTCAGGAAGACCAGGACCTAGCGCTTTAGAACCAGATTTGATGGCCAGTATTCTGCGTTACATTTCTTGGAGGCAAGAATTACATTTCTGTATTTCAAATCAAATGATGTTGTGGTTTGGGAATGGAGGGGAGAAGCAAAAAAGGACCATGTACCCTTCAAATAGATTATAGGTTGTAGAACCAAGGGCCTTGAACTTGAGTTTTTCCTTTGGGGTCCTGATTTCAGAAACAAAAACTTGAGAAGTTCTTTCTTTTTCCATGCAGGGAAAGGAGAAACAACTTAGTAAGAAGAGAAAGGCAAGTCTATAATAAATGGATTATTAAAATTCAAAATAAATTGTATATGGAAAAACCCCACACCAACAGCGAAACATCTCTTAGGTCCAGCTTCCTTTTGTTTTAGTTAGTACTTCAATTTATGTGTGTTTATTCTCTGTTTTTATTCCACAGACTTTTAAAGAGGATAAATACTTGAAAGATGCTATGGATTGTAGTGATGTCATCTGGCAGAGAGGTTTATTGAGAAAAGGATACGGGATCTGCCATGGTACTGCTGGCAATGGCTACTCCTTCTTGTCTCTCTATAACCTAACTCAGGACAAAAAGTACCTCTACCGAGCTTGCAAGGTGAGCTCTGCAGCATCCCAATATAATTACTGTTCCCTTTCACATCATAACACCCATGCAAGAGTAGGCTGTTGTGTGCTAGAGCTGGAGCTGGCTGGCTGCACAGCTGGGTGGGACAGCAGGGTCCTGTCACTTGCTCCCCTTTACTCACACTTTGACTGGACAACTTCAGCTGTGTACGTGGGGCACACACCATCTTAATATGCAGAGAGAAACGCACAAATGTTCTGTGAGGGGGGAGGAACTAAACGTATTCAGAAGAAAAGAGTCTGAAAATCAGCCTGCCTGAACAGTAACAGACTAATGTTATGTGGTGCTAATTATTCCATTGAGACGTCCACTGTCATCCTCAGCTCCTCAAGCGGTACTGTTTGTAGTCTTTTGTAATTATTTGTTTTCAGACTAATGTCTGTTCAGGGCTTTTAGAGCTCTGAATTGCAGTTATTAAATTGCTCACGTAGATTGGGTTGGGTTTTTTTCATTGATACAAATTGCAGAGAAAGACACACTCAGAATTTTTCCACTGGAATTGTCCAGGTTCTGCTATCAGCACTGACTATGCTAGCAGTTACCAAAGGAGAAGGCTTTCTCTGCCTCTGTTTCCTCATCTCATAAGACTTTAGTTTGTTTTGGTTTTGGTTTGTTTTCTCGGTGTCTTTTTCAGCTTTAATTCATTGACATGAGGTTTCATATTGCATACGTAGCTATTTAGCTGAGGCCTTTTAAAAGTATTGCAATGGGAAATCTGATGAGTTGCTGCTTAGGTGCTTTCAGATGAGCACTGGCCCTATGTAAAGCTATTGTATTCATCTCCATTGTCAGCCTGTCCTCCATCAGCAGAGCTTTAAAAAGTTGCTGCTTGTCTCACACTTACGAAAGCATCACGCCGGCCGGCAAGGTGAGGACACCTGTAGGCATACCTGCATCCTGCAGAATGTAATAAACCCCTAGCACTCCCACAGCAAATGCATGACTTCATTACACATGGACTCACCCACTGCTGATATGTGAGCCACAGCACCAAGCAGGCATTGCTGTTGGCACAGCTGTCAGGCTCTCCCTGTCATCCTCCATGCTAGTACACCTTCTGTGGCTCTGTGCAGCGTTGGCAACTCCTGTTGGTGCTGCATTTCTGGCCCAAGAGAGCCCTGGTGTTCTTCCATACCAAGCTAGAGAAAAGCAACCATATCTATTTCAAAGCCAAAGAAGGAAGAGGCTCAGTTACGTACCTGAAATCCTTTTGAGAAGGAAAGATGTAGCACAGTGGCCAAAGACTGTTTGCTGGAGATGCCTAGAGTAGTCAGGTCTGGCAGCATATTTGCAGCCCTGCTGCATTATAGCATCTCCAGCACTCAGTCAGGCCCTTCTGGCTCTTGCAGGGGAAATCTTGAAACAGGCAGAGGAATTTGCTTGTCTGGCATTCTTGAAATCTTTTTGAGCCAGGGCATGCAGGGAGGCAAGCGTGCAGTTTTGTTGGTACCTGAAGGCATGTACCTAAGAGAACTGGATGGTTCCCCTCACAGGGGTGATTGCTCACACCGAAAGCATGAGGCCCAGGGGAAGGAGTCTGGCCAGGAATCGCTGGTTACCTCTCGGGAGCCATGAAACTGTTTCACAAATGAAGCAGAAGACCTTGAAAGGCCATGGCTCACAGAGACCCCTTGTTTGTGCTTCTCACTTTTGGCTTCACAACCTTTCTCCAGCATTATCAGACAGGCTCCCAGGAGGCTGAGCCACTCCTAGCTGGCCTGCCTGTGAGAGGAGAAAGGAGCTGTGACATCCTCGGCTCCAGGCAGCAGAGAACATCCAAGCCCTGTGCTGCTCAGCGTTGTGATTAAACCACTACTGATGGCAAGCATGCCCAGTCTATGTGACAAATAATGGCAGCTGTCTTCCTGCTAGAAGATTTTTTTTTTTTCCCCCCCTTGGTTTAACAAAGATATTAGCGTGGCTTACTGGATGTGTGAGTTGAGCTGAAGCTATGAACTTGTAAATTGTCGTTGTGCTTCAGTAGCCTGGGGTGCATTTTTTTAATTTCTGTTGCAGTTCCCAGGCTGGCAGTAATAATAAAGGCTAGCAATAAGATGTGGATGTTGCAAGAATGGATTGTAGTTTAGAAACAAGCCATAAACATGTTCTGTCCTCACATATAAGACAAGATTATGTGGAGAATTAAACCTTGGTTTGAAGATTTATACTCATGGGGGGCCCAAAAATGTTTCATCAGTTCTTAAGAACAGTGTGGACCACAATGTTTATGTTTGTGGGTTTTTGCTGGGTTCAGACATTCAGACACATGCATACACACCTATGACAAGAAGAAAAATCCATCCCCCAATAAACATTTAAACAGAATAGAGTGGGGGGAAGAAGGGAGGAGATGTCACCCTTTGTCCTCCTGTTGAACAGATTGATGGCTCTGGGGGCATGCTTACACCCCATTTAGCTCCAAGTCTCAAGCTGGGGCACCTTCTTGTTAGTAGGATGCTAGCAGTTGCTAGTAGTTTGCTAGCAGGTTGTCCAAATTGCAGGGGGAGTGGGGAAAGACCTTTCAGTTCTTTGCTTTGCAGGAATCTTTGCACTGTATTTTGATTAAACAGTGGTTTGCTTCCAAGCGCAGAAATGCCAGGGGAACTTGTGCCCCCCCCAATATGCTCTGGGGGGCCATTAGAGGAGAAATAGACGGTTGCTATTAAATCTATCCAGATGCAGTTCATAAGTCATATATGTCTAATGTAGCTGCTGCAGCAGTGTTGATCAAACAGAAGAAAGACACTGTTAACTCTTTTTAATGGTATTCCATCTTCTGCAACAAAATATTGGTGACCATAATTGTCTAACTGTATTTATAATGATTTTTCATAAGGCTTGGGGAAAGCAAATAAATAAAATTAAGTAATGGCAGTTGGAGATTTAATACTGTAAATTGGTGCACGAAAGCAAAAGAAAACGAAAATGCAATTAACAACCCTAAGTCCTGAGCATGTGGATAAATTAAGCACCAAGACAGATAAGAAACTGATATTATAGTATTAGAAAAATTTTGCTCTTGAAACTGAATATATCTGTTCTCACAGCATTTTTCATTGATGTGTAGCAGGGTTGATTTACACAAAACAGAAGTTAAGTACAGCCCACCTAATTAGTTACGAAACTGAAACTTGTGCTGCGGAAATACATATCCTAAAACCTAATTGCAGCCTTGTCACAGTTCAAGTGGGACAAATTGATCTTGGACAGCGATTTCTGTGTTGTGTCTCTGCTTACACTACTTTACATTTAGTACCTATTAAAGATACGCAGATACTCAAGCTTGCATTTAACAGTCTTAAATAAATTAAAAAAATAATCCTTTTCCCCCCCCTCCCAGTTTGCTGAATGGTGTTTGGAGTATGGTGCACATGGATGTCGTATTCCTGACCGACCTTATTCTCTCTTTGAAGGTAAAGTGATGGTGTTGCAAATGGTGTTGTATTATAGAGGAAAGAAGGGCAGCCTTGCCGTTTTGGCACATGCTTAGGAGTTGGGAAAGCTTTGGTGGGTTCCTCTGCTATTAAAAATAGACCCACAGCCTACCACCATCTCTGCCTAAAAGAAGGTGGGGCGGGGGGACAGAGAAAAAGACAAAATCATTCACTATCACGACTTTCACTTTTGGTTGCATTTCAGCAGTGTCCAATGTAAAGCCAGTGCCACTGTCATTCTTGAATAAAATTCTGCTGTGCTGATGCCTCTTGGCTTAAAGCAAACAGAAATCCGGGCAGCAGTTTTGTCGCAGGTGTTGTTGCAGAGGGACTGGGCAGAGGAGCAGCTGTGGGTAGGGGGTCTCAGAGTAGTTGCTGTCTTGTCAGAACTAGACCTTCTCTGCTGTGGTACTAAAGCAAGGAAAAGCTAGTTTTGATAGCAACCCAAATCACTTGAACAGAAAAGAAATGCAGAAATGCAGAGTTTTTAGGGGCTTTTCTGTAAGTTCAAAGATGTTTCTAAATACTTTCCTAGACCTTCGTATTTTTTTTATTTGTAGTTTGTTTTCTATTCACTATCTCATCCTTATGTTTTAGAAACACAATAGCAAGGAATCACAGACCCATGTAGGATTTATAGTAGCGCTGCTATTTCATGAACAATGAGCCTAGTGTGCCACCTATCACAAATATGTGAAATTACAGCAGACCGAATAGGATTATTTTACGAATAAACCAATCCAAGGTGTGAACACAAGAAAGCAGTAGTTATATGCGTCCCTTCTAAATACGGAGTTATTGTCTTAATGTTTAAGGGAGAAAAGTACAAGTATTCTTATTCCTGAGAGCTCGCTTGCATGCACTTGTAGAGGGGAAAAAGCAGGCATGCAATCTGTGGTATAAGAGCTTTGAAGTTTGTTGAGAAGATTGAAGTAATGGCAACAATAGGATGATTTGTGCTTCAGTGCTAACATACAGCTTTTATTTTAGTTTTTAAATGTCAGTGGGGTTTTTTTGAAAAATCCAGAAGTCTAAAATTTGAGACAAAAAAGTCTTAATTTGGGGTTTTTTTTGTAGCCAAAATTGTGCTTGAAGTTGTCCAATTCTGCATGTGTGTGCACACTTCCAGTGGAAGTTGCATTGCATCTTACAGGATTGTCTTAATCGTTTCATTTGCATCAGGTGCTGTATTTCAGGAACATTCCTTTGTTGGTATGTGCTTAGCTGTTGAAAAAATAGGATTTTAGCTTGATCATAAAACTGAGCTTGTATTTGTATGCTCTCCCGCTGTAGGGTGCCTCTGTTGTCTCTCACCCTAAGACTTTTATTAGGTGATGCTTGTGTTAGTGCTTCAGTCTCTGGATGACCTCTTTATGAGTAGCAAACAAATGAATTTGTACATCACAACTATAATAGAGTTTTGCCTTTGTTTTTTAAGCAGTGAAATGATGAGCAAGAGCTGCTCAAATTCTGAGGGACAGTCCAAACTGGGATTTACTTTTTCTTAATGGAAGTAGCATTGAAGCTGTGCAGCTGAAAAGATGGTAGCAGAGAGATCTTTGTTCTTGCCTTTGATCTTTACAAGTGAAACTTGGTTTCCTGGGCAAAGTACAGATGAACTTGCCTTTCTATAGGCCTTAAGTTCACCTGTTCAAAGAAGATCTAGTGAGGAGGTGTTCAAACAGGTACTGTTGCCTTTGCTGTCAGCTATGCTATTTTAATGTCAAAGATGCACAAAGATCTCTTTCTCGTTATGTTTTAGGCATGGCTGGAGCTATTCACTTCCTCTCAGATATTTCAGTACCGGAGACTTCCCAGTTTCCAGCATTTGAACTTGGACCTCAAAGGAGGGAAAACAAAGTGGAACAGGACAGCTAAAAGGTCATTTTGAAAGGAAACTGATGCCAAAAGAGATGAGACTGTTTAGTGCCTCTGATACTGAACCAACTCAACCCTGAACCGACGGATGGATAAACCCCTTTTCTCAACCGCTCCACCCCGAAGGACCGTGAAGTCATTAGAGCATGAATGGGAGAAGCCACATTTAAGTTCTGTTACAGCGTAGGACAAGAGAAGTCAAGTTTTGAACTTTCTCTCTTCCGTTGTATTTGTCTTCTTCAGGTCTTTTGACATGCTCTGCATGTGTATTGGTGTTGTCTGTTGATTCAAGTCTTTTGTTGTTAGCAAAAAGCTGGTCTCTGTGTGAATCTCTGTCCTCTATCTTCGTGCATGACTCACAACAGCAGTGTTGTTTTCTGCAGCGTGGTTACCCAGAGAGCTCCACCTTATGCCAGAGAGTTCGCTGCAGGACAGTGGCTGGCTTCACTGGTGAGCTGGCAACTTTGAAAAGAAATGAAATACATTTTTATGTTCATATTTTTCTGCATTTTTCTCCACAGTCCCTAGAAGCTAAGGTGATGGAAATGAGCCTCTTTTGATGAAGAGGTATGAGGCCATCTCAGTTTTCAGAAACTTAGCAGGTTGGAAGGGACCTGACTTGTCTTTTGCTGCTGTTGTGGGGTTTTTTTTTTGAAAGCCTGAAAGAGAGTCTCCCTTTGATACCTGCACCTGGTTAGTGTGTTAGGCACTTAGAGCAGGGTGGAGGTGCTTGTCCCCACCTCTGCAAAGCCCTGTCCCATGGCATGAGCTTAACAAACTGAAGGTGGAGTCACCCATACTAACCTCCTGCTGCTGCCAAGAGCAGAGCAGGGACAGCATAACTGCTTCTCCTTTCATGTATATGGATTTGTAATAAACCTGTCCTGCAGCATCTGGTATACAAATGAGTAAGAGTAAGGGAGGGCGTCAGGGCAGTTTCTCATCCTGGTAACTCAGGATGAGTGTTGCTTCCGAACCAAGGTGGTGATTTGTTCTGGGCCCTTCCCTCCCTCTCCCAGACCCACTGCATTTAGCCCATGTAGTATGATAGAAGCGATAAATACCAGCTGCTTGTGGAGGCTGTGGAAGGTTAATGAGCAATATGAAACCGTTGCTAGAGGCTGTAATCGAAGTTCATTTCATCTTAAAATCCAAACAGAAAAAGCCCTTTGCCCTTAGTTTTAACTGTGCTGCTAGTGCTTTGCTTCCCCTTGTAGTGTGGTGGGGTTGTGAAATACCAGACCTGCCTCCAGGTGCTCCTGAGTACCAGGCTCTTGGTCTGGGAGAAGCAGGACATAGTGTAAGTACACTTACAGCAGGCTTATGTGTTCCAGACAGTAAGTACGCTTACTGCTTGGGAAAGGTAAGTGAGCGTAGCACGCTCTCACTCGCTCAAGCTCTGTTGTCATCCTTCCCCCAGGTCTCCCTGTGCTCTGTCATTCCAGGTGCTTATTTTAATTGATGCCTTCTGTCAGGTGGGAGTGTGACAGATGGCAGAGACTTTGCCCTTTCAGGCGTGCATTGGGATTATATGTGACCTGTGGGCTGTCTGCTGAGGGTCAGTGTTTGCGGTCAGGCTTGGAGATGCATTGTTGTGCCTGCATAAATCTCTGAACAGTAGCGGGTGACTTCCTTGAACTTTATAGTATCTGTTGCCAAATCCAGTGGGATGTTAATAATCTTCATGTTCAGTTCTGCTGGGCAGCAGCAGCAGCAGCGCCAGTGCAGGGACAGCTTAATGTCACAGTGTAGCTCCGCTGCTGGTTTGTCAGGTAGGACCAAAACACAGGAGCAGCGGAAGGGACTTTTCCACCCCTCTGGCAAAGGGCAGAAGATGGGGGGCACCAAATCCAGCTGCATCTGTACAGCCAGGGAGGAGGGAAAATGCTGAAGGGCAGTGGGGGTGAGGGATGCTGCTTGGTAAGCAGCTGGGGAGAAGCAAACCAGACCAGAACGGCAGAAAGCGGAGGGATCAGTGAGGAACGGGGAGAGCTGATTACGGGAGGCAATGCACAGAATGGACAGGTAAAGGCCATCTCAAATGAGATGTTCCTCCGTGGCAAGCATGCTAAGGTCTGACTGCGTTTCTTTCTTCAGCCTGTGGATCGCTGATCCTGCCTATAGATAAGTCAGGGAGGAAACTTGCCCAGGGTGAGGTCTCACAGGAATTCTAACAAAGGAGGTAGATGGCAGCTCTGATTCTGTTTCACATCACCCCCACCCCTTTTTTCCTTCCCCTCCACTGTGACTGCAGAGCATTTGGGGTGGGTTAACAGGGAAGGGGCTTGCCAGGTTTGCAGGAACTGCCTGCAAACACAGAACAGAAGCCACTAGCCTTCCCAGCAAGTCCCAAGCATGTGTTGTACTGACTACTTAACTAGGGGGGTCAACAGGCAGGTTTTTTCATTCAGTGGTTATATACATATAGACCTTCTTGGCTGCTGAGCTTGGAATGGCACCTGTGGGAGGTGATTTTGGCTGGCTGGAGCCCAAGGGGAATTAAAACTTGCTGGTTTAAAAAATACATAGGTATATACACACTTAGAACAGCTTAATACTGAGCAGATCTCCAAGATGCTTGAGTGTGCACCTGTTGAAATAATGAGGAAGTCAGCTACCAGCTCGTTCTGTACTATAGCCGGCCTTGTGCTGCGGTGGGGCCTGGCACCATCTTTCTCCGCAGAATCCTCTTGGAATTGAGCAAGACTGGAAGCGTAACGTATTGAGTCGGGAAGCCTCTGACAGTGCGTCTGCCTCATCTTCCTGATGTGACTTTCCCCGTGGCTCCTCTTTTCTGTTCGTCACAGCATTGTGATATCTAGGTGGCCCATTAAGAAAGGTTATTGTGTGAAGGTGAAAAAACGCATTTTATTAAGGCATTGTTTTCAGAAATCACATTGAACTAAAATGTGGGAAATGTCTTAGTATTCCCTGGTTTGCTTTGTCCGTGTGTAATAGTCCATCTGTTGCAAAAAGCAGTAGTGTTAAAAATGGAGATGCTCTTTGGGCAGAAAAAGAGGAAAAAAATGCTGATGTTTTGTTCTTTGGCTTTATTAGTAAAGATCAAGCTATGTGGTGGTAATTTGTGTGATTTTTTTTTTTTTTTTTTTCCCCCTGTTGTACTCCTTCCTTCCCTCCAGCACTATGGTAACAGCTGTCCCACCAATCTGACTGCTGACACACCTCCCAATCTCATAGTCCTGCAGGTTGAAACACATACCAGAGTGCGGGAAAATCGCTTTTTTTTTTTTTTTTTTTTTAACCTTCACCTTTTACTAGCATTGAAGACCTTTTTACTGCTGCTTTTCCCAGGTGATTTTTTTGTGTACATTGCTTAGTGCAAAGCGTTGCTTTCCTCTCTGGTCACATAGGTCCCGCTGAACAGTTTGCAACTAAAGCCTGACTCACGACTAGCTGGTTTTTAAGAACACATGTATGAAATGTCTCTGTCCAGCTGACTAACATCTGTTTTCCAGCTTTGAGAAAACTTGATGTTTCTCTCTAGCTAGGCTTTAACAGAAGAAAACTTCAAGTATGCTGCAAGCAAGGGGCAGTATTTCTGTTCCACAAAGGCCCCTGTGCCACTCAAGGCCCTCTGTCACTGAGAGCAACTGCTGCTGTTTTGAATTAATAGCATTATTTCTGTTCTGTACATAGGGACCTGAAGATAATCTATACAAATTCAGCTGTAGCTAGATAAATGTGTTGGGGCTTTTCTAGCACAATAGTTCTCTGTAGCATCAAAAGGGGGAAGAGAGAGGTGGGAGGAGGCACGCGTGCTGCGTGTCAGCTAAGGGCTAGGCAGCAGCGTGCTGCCTGAGCCCTCTCCCATCAGGGTATTTTGATGCACCAGTGTTTTTCCTAGGGAAATTGTTCACTTTTCCCTCATTTGTTTTCACTGGTTTCAGGTCAATTCACAGGCCCAGGAACCGAGTCTCTGCATGGCAGAGCAGCCATGGTTTGTGCATAGGGAGCAGTAGTGACCTGGCTTCAGCCACCGCTTCTCTTGAACAAGTGGGCTACTGTAAATCCAGCTGTAGCTATCAGATAAGCTAGAGTTAGGCAGCAGGCGGTAACAATATATATATAGAGATAGACACAGACACACACCCCTCTCCTTGTGATTTCTCTCACTACATAAAGCCAAAATGACACATGCAGCTAAGGAGCTACCTCAACCTGCAGGGGCTGGGGTCAGAGGGCTGCTTAACTTGTCACTGTTCCCTCTGCTTTCTCTGCTGTCCCCTTTGCCTTGCAGCACCTGGCAGCTGGGGACAGTGGCTGCCAGTTGCACTTCTCCTCTTTAATAGCATTATTATGTAGCAGTTGCTTTGTAGAAACTGCCTTATGCTGGATCTTCCCTCTGTAGTCACTTCCCTGTCAAAGAATATGAACAACCGTAAAATCCCAGAAGGCAGCTCAACCCCCCCAGCAACAGGGCAATCAGAGGGGAAGGCACCCACAGCCACAGGACCTGCAAAGAGGTCCTGGCCCATTTCTCTCATCTACTGATTTAGCAGTGATGCATTAGTTAGACCGGGGCGGCAGGGTCGGGGGGAAAGGTAAGGCTCCACTGTCTGACAAGGTGTTTTATCTTCTTGGCTGACCTGTGTGCCAAAAAGTGGCTTCTTGAGTATATCCTTATAAAACTAACCATCTGAGGCATTTGGGGTTGTTTTTTCTGTTTGTTTGTTTTAAGTAGGGAAGAAAGAGCAACACCTCCTTTCACATAGTCTGAAGAGCTTGTTGGAAAATGTAGTCCCAGCTGTTTGTTTTCACAGCAGTGTATGCTGTCACAGGGCTTTAAAAAAAAATGAAGGAAAAAAAACCCCAAACCACCTACAAAACAAAAAAAGCTTGTCACTACATTATTTCTTCTAAAGTGATAATGAAACACAGGCACAGCTGCCTGGCAGCCCCAAACAGCAATGGCAGGGTTGGTACCCTCCTTGTCAAGCCAGGGCCTATTTGCAGCACAACTGATGCGCCAGCCTGCTAATTACTGTGAGGCACAGAAGGTGCTGCAGGTGACATTTGCCTCTCCTGCGAGCCATGGGGCACCCAGTCACACCAGGGAGAAGGAAATGGAGGAAAAAAAAAAAAAAAAAAAAAAAAACCACCATGAATAAGATTGTGCTACTTTAGTGGCTTCAGCCCAACAGTGCTTGCCTTGACGGACTCCCTCGCCCGCACCTTGGCAGAGGTGTCTCAGGTGCCCTGGGCCTGAGAGCAAGTGCCAGGGCTGCATACTGGCGGGAAGGCTGAAAAAGCAGCAGCAAAACTTTATGAACCCTCAGACTGCAATGA